AGTAGCGTCCTTGCTCCTAGTAGCGATGCCAGGAGCCCCTAGTAGCGTCCTTGCTCCTAGTAGTAAGGAAAACATCATCAGAAAGATAGGTTGCAAGAACAACGGAACAAAAAGAAAAGGAAGAAAGGTCTGCTGAACAACATGAGACAAACATACTATAAAGAATTGAACGCAAACCTAACAAAGAATAAGAAAAGGAATGAACCGTTAAAGAGGCACCCTCAGTGAGGTCCAAGACTTAAGGCCTTTTCGGAAAAAAAAAAACAACAGGTCCAAAAACTGAAGAACGCACTATATAATACATTTTTGTAATGTTACATGTTCCTTTTCTGTTTTTGCAAATGAATGCAACAGAAAGCACCCCTCAATTTGACAGCCCAATAAGGCTATTTCTGGGTATTCACAGCACGTACGGAGTAATGTATGGACCGATATGCGCGTTGTAAGTTCACCTCTCAACTCTGACACAACTTGAAGTGATGCTAGCCAGGGTGGCAACCCAAAGGCAAAGGGTGTGGCATTCTGACTTTCTGACTCATTCTTCCTTCTTGCTACTAGGAACAAGTGCATCACTTCTAGTAACAAGTGCCTTACTAGTAGTAACAAGGACGCTAGTAGTAACAAGAAGCTACGAACGTAACAAAAACATCACCCGAAAGGTCGAAGAGTCCAGCGCTCGCCTTGAGGTCTGCTGAAATGCCCCAGCGCAAGCTTGGCGACAAGTGCCCGTGGCTTGGTCTGCACAACTCTGGCATCGTCTTCGGCTTGTCAGAGCAATCAGATACCTGCAACAGGCATTTCCTAACAAATAGCAATGGCCTCCAACCTAAGAGCGATGGCCTTCCTCCTAAGAGCATCAGGCATTTCCTCCACTTCTTTTGTACCCAGGGACCTTATGATGAGCTTATGATCAGATTTGGGACCCAAAGCTTTCGTGCTGCCTTCACGGATCTTTCGCGGAATTTGACTCAATGGTTTGGCTCACAATTATGTTTTCCATGTGTTCCAAAGTGCTTGTGTTCAAAAAGGCTTGCAAATCAACTTTAGCTTAGCCGAGAAACTAAGCAGTTACACCTTTGGGGGATTAGCTTCAAAAAACAGGCTTGCTGATCAACTGCAGCCCCGCATAGGGATGTATAAAGAACATCTGCTTAACCAACATATCCTTAAACACACCACATGACTGTAAAGCCCTGGATCTTCCCTGCTATAAGTGCCTTGTACAGAAGTAATCCAAGACACGATGAATGAGAGAGTGCTTTCGCAGAGCTGTCACAAACATTGGCTTTGAAAAAATCCTTTTGGCGAGCTTTCGCAACTTAGCATTTTGCTGGCACACAACCATCTGAGATCAATTGTCTTACATATTCATGAGGTTTGCACTGTCCCTCGCGCAACCCAAACTGTTCTAGTTGGGCCCAAGCTGCTTGAGTTCCTGGTGGAGACCATTCTGGACAGCCTGTGGGCTCGATGACGCCCTGGTGAAGTTGAAGGTTGCGCAAACCTAGGCAGCAAATTAGCTACTAGTAGCGATGGCCTCCAACCTACTAGCGGCTAGCGATGGCCTCCACCTAGCAGCTTCTTGTTACTAGTGGACAAACATTCTTTTGCTACTAGCAACTACAAGCGTGGAGGCCATCGCTATTAGGTTGCAGGCCATCGCTACTAGTAACAACCAAAACACCAGTTGCCGAACTCTACAACGAACTGCCGCTGGAGCTGCTCTGTGGTCTCAAACTGAAATACATGGCCCCTATTTAATACCAACAAGAACACATTCCCCTTGCATGTCGTTCTTTTATTTACATCTCTGGCCAATTCTTTATTGATTTCATTACATGTTTTACAGTTTCTTCTTTAGACGTACTGTAGACATGTGTTTCCTTTCTGTCTATATATGCTTCTGTCGGTACTTCCGTTACGCCTTTAGAACTTTATTCTTGCCATTCCCTGCTATATGTTGTTCTTATTGTTGTTGTTTGTCCTATTTCACTCCTCCCTTGTGCTTTGTCTAGGATGTTTAGACTTTTTATCGCGGTTTCCTTCTTTATCCATCAAACATGATGCAAACCGCCTTTGTTCGTGCTTCAGACCTTTGGACATGTGTTTAATTTGGTTCTCTTCCTTTAGACCTGTCTCAGACATTCTGCTCTCTTTGCCTTTGTTTTGTTGTAACATTGTAGTTTCCTTTTTTCTTTAGACATGTGCTAGTTCCTTTGTTTCGTCCTGTCTTTCTAGATTCTTTGGGTTTCCATATCTGTTTCTTTTAGCATTTCTTTTGCATGTTTCTGTCTTTTGTTCATTTCGCTTTTGATTTTCCTTGGTTCTTTTCTTTCGAGCTCTTTTGAGACCTTCAAACAGTTACTTTCCTTTTCTATTTTCACCACAATTCTTAAGTTGTGCTTTACTGGGCATGTGCTTCTCCTATTCCTCCTCCTCCCGCTCCTCCCGCAACTCAACTGCTCTGCAAAGGGCCTGCTGTTCCCGGTCCATGGCTGCACGACGTAGATTGTGCGACGCATCTGTAGAGGGCCTGTGACTTGTCCTGTGGGCGTAATGATTTAGCACTCCGCCATGAAGCGACCGGCTCGAGGAAAGTATCGAAGTGATCAGACTTGCAACGAGCCCAAGAAGATACCACGTTAGTTGCAGATGTGTCTGCCACGCTGAAGAACTGGAGCGGACCAAAACCACGTGCTGGAGAAAGTCAGCTTATCTCAGGGGGGCCTGTGGCGCAGTTCTTTCGGTAGCGATTGAACACCTCAGCGCAAACATCTGCCCTGGGCTACAAAGGAATGAAAGCACAGTCAACTACGTGAGCTATGGGATGGGTCAGTTGCACGTGCTACTCGCTCACACCGGGATTTTTGGTCTTCGGATATCCAACTTCCAGATTGCTCCGGATGGGTTTTGGAAGATTTCAGAGCCAGAAAACTTGAGACCAAGATTCTGTACGCAGTTTCTTCTTCCTGTATCTGCATTCTGATCAACAACAACAATAATCTGAAGCCATAGTCTGTGATTTCAGGCTAGAAATGTTGGATTCAAAAGTCAGTGCGCAATTCTTATCACAACACTTGAAGCCTCAATACCTCTTCTTCTGTCTGCTTGTTGTTTGCGTGTACAAAAAAACACAACAAGCTTAACATTTGGGGACGTGACGTACGGTTCTGTAATTCCTTTCTTGTTTCATTTTATTTGTCTGTGATTAATCCTTTCTTATTCTTTCTTTATTTGTATATTTTTTTTGTCTGGTTTTCAACCTTGAAGACTTCTCCGTTTTCGTGTCTTCGTTCTTTTCCTTTTGGCATCTTTTATTCCTTGCGTTCCTTCTATATATTGTGTTTTCTTCATGTTCACTTTAGCTATTTCTTTGTTTTGTTTATTTGTGTCTATGTTCATTCTTCTTTAGACATTTGAATTCTTGCACGTTCGTTTTAAACTGAATTTAACATTTAACTTCTTTTCTTTGGTTATTCAATTTGTTTTATGTCCTTTTTGGCCGTTAGACCTTTCTTTTCTCTTTTCCCCTGGACTTCTCCTTACTGTAGAGTTGCAGGATTGACCGACCGATAGGTGAAGCACTTGAGGCTCACATGGAAATCGAGACCTGGTGAGGTTTTCCCTCCAACAGAAACTATCAATCGTGGTGGAAAACTGCCAAAACACCAACAACATAGTTGCTTAATGTTGCTTAAACGTCAACCGTAGGTGATATGGTGATCCAAACAATTCCATGATCAGGTTAGGAACATCCATGATACTTCTTGTCGTCATCGTCGTCGCTGTCTCTGACAAATTGAAGGTATTGCTCAGCTCGAAGAAACGGAAAGCTGGTGGTGTCATAGATCCAAATCACGTTGAATGCATCTGGATCCTTTCCGCCACCCACGCGCAAGTCCATACCTTGGCGCAAGTCCACACTGGGCCAATTTGTGGCGCTACTATACTAGTAACAAGAAGCTACTAAGGGCTCCTGGCATCGCTACTAGGAGCAAGGACGCTACTACACTGGGCCAATTTGTGGCGCAAGTCTTCGGCTACTGTGGAACAGACCGACACCCATGGCGCCCCAACCTGCTCGCCCCAAGATGCACCTGACATGCACCTGACATGATCCTTTTGCACCAAGCAAGCGAACGTGGGCCTTTAACCATCGAGAAAGGTGCAAGAAAGGTGCTAAAATTGGCGTTTTCGCGCTGAATCGTGCTGAAGAGAGTGCCTTCTCTTCCGCCAGGAATGCCAATGCAGGACCTAAATTGCAAGCCTTTTTGCTCAGGTTGCGGCCGGTCTCGTGCTCCCTCCGGGCCATGGAAGGTCTTCAAGAAGTGTGACACCAAATATCCTTGGGAAGCAGATCAGCATCGCCACGAACGAATCGATTTGTGGTCTTTAAGAGCCTTTCACCAATCCACCGCCGACCCCCGGTTACCTTCGGTCAGATGCCAAACTGTAAGGAGATGGGACTCGCAAACGACAAACCATAAGCTACTAGTAACAAGGGCATCGCTACTAGTAACAAGCGCATTACTACTAGTAGCAAGTAGCTACTAGGTTGGAGGCCGCTATTAGGTCGGAGGCCATCGCTACTAGTAGCAAGTAGCTACTAGTAACAAAGGGCATAAATTCCAAGGATCTAAACTGATCTTCTCCTGCAACACGAACAGCTGTGACTTCAGCGAAGCCCAGTTTGGCATGATCCCGTTCATCGGATGTGTTGTAGCAAACTCCTCAGAAGCAGGGTGAGATGATCTTGATTTTGCAAAAAGGTCAGCGTCTACCTGTGGAGCACCTACAGGGTCCCTTAACAGCACTTACCTGTGCTTTCGGATCGCTGTGGAACTGAGACCGCCCGAGCCAGTCAGTTTAGTGGTCCGTGTGGGGAAACGGACATCGGACAATCCTGTCCTGTAAAAGAACGTCTGCAAGAAGTGATGGTAAACAGCACCTCCATCAAATCAAAGAAAGATTCGAGGCATCGATTTCTGATTTCTTTCTACGGGGCCTGCAGCACGCGCCCGCTACAGAAAGTGAACATATATCCGTCGACCTGGGATACCTAGGGTTGGAATGGGCTGGAGTGTGCATGCCGAAGGTTGCGACTTCTTTTCCTCTCAAAACGCACCAACACCCTTTTTGGTCCCTGAAACCAAAGGAGGGTCGGTGTCACCAGTGCATTCGCCCAATAGAAGTTGCGTTCAAACAAAGCTCAGGTATGCGGTAGTCCCCTGCTACCAGTAGCTTCGATGTTACGAGTAGTACTGCACTTGTTCCAAGTAGCGATGCACTGGCTACTACTAGCCATGCCCTTGCTACTAGCTTCAGTCAAGCCAAACAGCCCTTGTGTGCAGAAATGCACTCTGACCCCCTGCCGCTCGGCAAACGGATTTCCGACCAGTCAAGCCGACCAGTACCAATGTCCAAGAATCCGCCAACGCGTGGTTCGCTGCCAGCATAACCCGCCAAGGAAGTGACTTGGCTCAAGTTTCGCTTGAACACCCTTTTCTCCAGCTCCAAATTGGCAAAGTCATGCTGCAGATGTGCAAACGGTCCATTTCCAAAATATACCTGGTAGCTCCAAGCAATTTGTTATGATGGGGAGAGTGGCCATTGTCAACTGCCGAAACATCCGGAGGCCAGCGCTACTAGATTGGAGGCCATCGCTAGTAAGTTGGAGGCTGCTAATTGGGTTAGAGCGAGAGCCCGTTTTCGGGAACTATGAAAAGCACTTTTAAGAATGAGATGCCAAGCCGTT